GAGGCTTAATGTTGCTAGGAATGCTCAGCAAGACCATATCAAATGCATCTTTTTGAGGGTAAAAGGTGAGCCAAGCCTTCAGACCTTCCTCCCTTTCTGACATTGGCTGAAGTTCTTCCTAGGAGAACTGAATTCTGCCGGTAAGAATGAATTTGTCAAGACCTTTACTGTAGCTGTGGCTGAAATCAGAGGTGGGTCACACATATGCCGGGAGCCACAGAAGTGTCTGCTTCAAGAGATAAATAATGTCAAGTCAGACAGTTACGATCAGAACAAATGGGAGGTTGTCTATAAAATGTTTTGCATCCTTCCTGGTACATACTAAGGGAATTAATACATGTTTACTTTATTATTGTTATCATTATCGTCGTGGTTATTAACATTTCACTTTCATGAGTGGCAGAAACAAGGGCACATGTATAGCTTTTATGAGTCTCCAGGAATGACATAAAATCCAGCTAGGCTTGAAGCAGGACTCACCCCCCTGCTCTTCAGTTATTTATCAGGCAGTTACTTTGAGGTTCCTGTTACTTGCAACTAAGGGGGATTAATGACTACTCAGGGGACAGGGTTGGTTAAAGGGTGGAAGAGTAGGAGGGTGACCGTGACACACCAGCCAGTGTGGTGGGAATTCAGACATGAACATTGAGAGCCTGAGCCCTGGAAAGGGAGATAGAGAGGAAAAGTGAGATGAGAGTTGGGAAGGAACAGTCTAGCAATCTTCTTGGAAGGCTGCTATCAAGAAGTGCCAGTGATTCTTTATAATCTCTTCCTTCATGTGTTCTTTCTTTCTTGTCTATCTGCCATCCATTCATTATCTATCAATCAGGCTATCATTTATCTACTCTGTAATATCTATAAATCATTTACATATCACTATCTATCTATTATCTATCTATCTATCTATCTATCTATCTATCTATCTATCTATCTATCTATCTATCTATCATCTCTATGTCTAGGAAAGGATGTTCCTATGTAGCCCAGACTAGCCTCAAACTTGTGATTCTCCTTCCTTAGCCTCCTGGGTGCTGGGATTACAGGTGTGAACCATTTATACCCAGCTTGGATCAGGCATTTTGTCCCCATTTTAAGGCTTGAAAGAACTTGCCCAAGGACACACAGGAATTCCGGGGCTATTTCTGAATCTTCAGCTCATGTCAAATTAACTTTTGCTTGCATATTGTATGCGCTGAGGTCACATGGCACCATCTTTCTGTACCTTAGGGCACAGATGCACCTTCCACCTCCAGCTCCTCTAACTAACCTGTAGAAATAGTAGGAGTTCTTGCAGAGGAAAAGCTGGAGAGCGCATGGCCCCCTTCAGTAAAATGAATTCTGCCTGTGTCTTTGCTTCTAAATAGAAGAAAATGTAGATTTGGGACAGAACCGAAGGGAAAGGGATTTCCCTTGGCAAATTATTTGCAATTTGTGGATTGGAGCTGACCCAGCTCCAATTCCCTCTGTCATTGTGAGAGCTGTCTAAAATGTGACCGGCTTATTAAAGAACAGGAGATGGAGAGAGTCCTCCCACAGGATCATAAGGAAACAAGAACAGAGCTAAAACCCATCCTCATCCATCTCATAAGGTCTCAGGCCAGGACTGGCTGGATTGTCACCCATTGGTTACATGGTCACTCACGGGCAGCCAAGCCACTTCCAGTGACTATTCCTTTTGTGCCTTTCCTTAAGCATTCTGTTTTGAGCATGGAAATGAGTGGCCCTCAGACTACAGCATGTGATAGAAAGCATGGTCCTAAGTTACTGCCAGAGAATCTGGACTTGAAGAAGGCCACAGTATTTCTTTTTCAAGAGGGGTTCCAGGTGATTCTCAAGCAGAATCACTAGAAACAATGATGTTCACACACTTCACCAAGTGGCTCCGTCATCCCTGGTTTAGGGATGCTGTTTTTGCTGGCACAAGTCCTGGGAAAGAGCCAGTATTTCTTTACTAGCAAGATCCACTACATACTGTCACAATTTGAGAGACATTTAGAAAGCTTTCTCGACTAGGAAGATCTTCAAGAGCTGCCGAGGCTAGAATTCTAAGGATCTTTGTTCTCTAGCACTCCTTTTAAATCACAGTTTATGGAGGATAGCTCTGTATTCAAAGAAAAACTTTTTTTTTAAAGGAAATAAATCACTGTGGCATATTCACAGCAAGCTGAAATATCTATAGAGCTTATCTGTCTGTATGGTCTAACTGCCATATTTCTTCTTTCCCACAAGCTATTCCTGAGAATGGCTTATAGTCTCAAGTGAGTTATCCCTTTCCTTAGGACTTCTTGGCATCAACAGGCAAAAGAAAATAAACGTGCGCCTATTTTCCCATGCACCTTGCTATCAGAGGGCAAATGAGCTGCTATGGAATGGGTGGGTCACAGGCCTTCACAATAAACTTGATTCCACATGAAATGAATCTGAAAATTCCATTTATTAAAACAAATACATTGCTCATGTGGGATGAAAATGTGCACATCACATTCAGGTTTACCTGCTTTAACATTTTGATATTTCCTTCTATTTAAAAGACATATTTCATAGATCTTATGTAGGAAAATGTGAACAATCCTTGGGCTGTGAAATATTGACATACATGTAACAAGTCATCATTGCCAGGAGTAGCTAGAAGGAAATACTAAGGAAGAAAAATATATTAAAAAAAAAACCCTTTCAGACAGCATGCTTGATTTTCTTAAAATTTCTTACATGAAATATATGTAGAGAAATGATTTTCATTTGACTTTTCCTTTAAATCCTCTGTTTAAAAAAATCAAATAGTACTAGCCTTCAAATAAAAATAATAACAAATTTTCAACTGGCATTCATATTGAGAATGATGCAATTTTTTTCTTTTTAGAGTTCCAGTTCTAAATATGAAACTCATTTTTATTTATTTCCTAATTTCATGGCATATTTTCTTATTATCCAATATATTATACAGGAATATAGAAATTAGGGCCTTCAATAATTAAGCTGAATTCTTCTACTAGTTACTCTTAAAATAAAATTATGCTGGTGAAAATGGTGAATTTCTAAAGGAGATGGCTAAAGTAATCAAAAGACCCCATTTCTCCTTTAATAAACACAAATATCAATAAGCCAAAACTCATATAAGGATTATAACTCCATACTATAAGACATGAAATTATGCAAAAGCCAAACCATTTTTCTTAATTTTAGATGGGCTATGAGTTTTCTATCTTATTTCTCCTTTTATAGCATGAACATATGCAATTTGAACTGAAGTTTTAGTTGCTAGACCTGTGTTTAGGTGCTTCTTAAAAAAATGCTTTTTGTGTATGTGTGTGTGTGTTTATGTGCCAGTACTGAGGCTTGAACTCAGAGCCTGGGGCACTGTTTCTTAGCTTTTTTGCTCAAGACTGGCATACTATCACTTGAGCCACAGGTGTACTTCTAGCTTTTTTTGTGGTTAAAGAGATAAAAATCTCACAGACTTCCTTGTTCAGGCTGGCTTTTGGCCTGGCTCCTCAGATCTCAGTATCCTTAGTAGCTAGGGTTACAGGTATGGTCCCCAGCTTCTTCCTAATCTATTCCATATCTATTATTCCAAAGATATAAATTCACACAGAAATACAAAGAGTCTGTCTGAAAGAAAGAAATGAAGCATACTGTGGAAACTATGTGGACCTTCAAACCATGTCATCACCAGCCAGGGGTACTCTAAGTCTGTTGTTTTTCTGGGATCATATATTCATGTTTCAGCTCATTTTCAACACTTGGATAGTGTTTTAGTTGACCTCACAGTGTTCCTAAGCCAATGGTACAATATTGTATCTCCATCAAAATAAAAAACCTTCTCCAGCATCTCTAGGACTGTATCAAAACCCCAAGCTTTGTTTGGTCAGAGTAGAAGTTCCTGGTTACAAAAGCGTACTTCCACATCTCACAAATATTTCAGTATCTTCAAGCATGAGCTTGAATTGGACATATTCTTTCACCAGCATGCCCACAGAGGAGCTAAGGAAAATATTACCAAGTCTGTTTCAAAATCAGTCCTTTTTTTCTTTTTCTTTTAAAAAAAAATCTTCTCTCTCTCTCTCTCTTTTTGGTACATTAAACAGAAAAACAAAACAGGAGGAAGAGTAATGATGAAGGAAGAGGGGAAGAGGAAAATCAATTTGGAGTTAATGGTCTTTGAGGATTTGATAGCAAACAATCTGTAGGAGACTTTCTCTTTGACCGGAAATGACAGAGATAAAGAGTGAAAAGGGTTTCAGGGCCTGCTATTACTGGTGAAGCTTCTAGTGGAAGGGAAGAATGGGTCTCAATGCCTTATCTTGAGAGAGAGCACTACCTGCACGAGAGATGTAAATAATGACAGAGAGACTCTGATAAGGTAGAGAGCAAAAAACAAAAAACAAACAAACAAGCCACCCCCCCCCCCCCCCCCCCCCGCAACCCGATGGTTCTGAAGAAGAACATCTCAAGGGAAAAACAGACTTGTTCATGGTGGAGCCAGCTGGCAGGAGGGGGTGGGGACAGGGGAGTGCACCTGTCACTCGAAGGATGGGTGGAGTCTAGAGGGGGGTGGTCTATGGGTCTATTTCTGATCATGCTGGAAAAAGGAGGACCACAGATTTCTAGTCAAAAGCTGGAAAGCCTTCTTTCTGTCTAAAATGTCCATGATTCAGGGAAAGAGAGACATGCTTGTATATAGCAAAAACATTTCTCAAATTCATGGCTATGTTCTGTCCTTTCTATGGGGGGACTTGTGCTGCCATGGACACTGGATAAAACAAATTCTGGGAAATTTATTAAAGAAGTACTTATACCACTGGGAACTGAGAGGTATTTTAGGCATGGCTAAGGCTCTCAAGTGATCTCAGTTTTCAAAATACTGAAGGATTCCCCTCCCCCCAGTATATTTTCTTCCTAGCTTTCTAGTTAAAACAACAAATCTTCTGAATGGATGTAACATAGGGACATTGTCATGCAGTATTACTCAAGAAACGGTCACAAAGATAGGAAAGCACCAGTCACAACACATGATTTACTTTTACTTGCAGAGTCAAAGCTACCATGTACAAATATTAGGAATAGTGATGAGAGAACACAGACAACTGGCAATTTTGTTGTTGTTCTTATCAAGATAATACACCACAAGAAACATCTTCCTAAACATTTTGAGTGTTCATTTAAACTTGGAGTTCCATCTTACAGACTAGTCTAGCCTTCTCTTTGTACTACTTTAATGGGTAGGGATAGAAGAAGGGTGAGGGGTAGAGGAAAGGACAAAGAAAAACACAAAGACTAAACACTGATGTCATTACGCTGAACCATGGCTACACTGGACAATTCAGCTTATCAGAAGGTATTCTAAAGACAAGAATCATTTTGAGAAGGTCATACATATCTTAGCTCAGTACAGCTGTCTTTTTCAATGTTTATTTTTATTTTTAAATATGAAGCAGAAAAAGTAAGGTGGGGAGGGTGATAGCAGAAAAGAAGTGACACCAATTTTATTTTTTATACATCCCCCTCCTCCAGGCAGGTCTGCAGAATCAGATCTTTTAAGTCGGGAAGTGGATCGGCTTTCATTTGCCTAAGGGGACCAGTTCTTTAAACATGCACAGCCTGGAGTTTCCAGGATGGTTCTTCTCTCTCTCTTTAAATGCCGTGGACGAGAAAGGTGCCCACTTTGATAGAAACATTACGCCAATGTCCCGGGAACCCCGAGGCTCTTCAGCCTCCGCCTGGAAACTTAAAGGATGGCACAGAAGAACTTCTTCTCTCGAAATGGGTTTTCGGAGGCTGGGACGGGGGTCAGCAGGGGGTCTTCCTTGGCATGCGCCTCACAGTAGGCCATCAAGTCTGCAGCTGCTTTGGAAACCTGGAGGGGAAGACAGAGACCATGGAAATGGATCAGTAGTCAGGCGCTGTCCTTGAGCTTTGGTGCTCAAGGCTAGCATGTTACCATAGGAGTCATAGCATCTCTTCCAACTTTTTGGTGGTTAATTGGAGATAAGAATCTCATGGACTTTTCTGGTCTGGTCTAGCTTTGGAACAGTGATCCTTCTGAATAGCTAGGATTATAGCATGAGGATTTCATGAGCCACTGGTTCCGGGCCCTAACCCTCATCTTGTATGTATCTCTTGAGTTCTGTGCCTAGCAACTCACTGGGTTACAAGGATTAAATAAGTGAGATAATCCATGCAAATCATTTAGGGCTTGGCTTCTAGCAAGATTTCTACATGAACCAGCCATGTTATCATCAGGTACTCAGCCATCTATCTCTCTTGCTTCAGGAATCTTGTTAGGGATGTTCAAAGCCAGGCTGGATTCTCTCTTTAATCAAAACAGATATGAAGGTGCAGATATGTGTGTATGTGTACACTCAGATACACACAAACAAAACTTTATGTAGTACCAAAATGTATGGTCTATATGATTCCAATCACACAGTGCACCTTTCAGGGATGTGTTACTGGGAGATTGTCACTGAGTTTAGTGATACTGACAACTTCCCAGAACATTTCTTCCCCTCCTTGTTAGGAGTATCCAGCAGTCTGACTCATCAGTGACAATGTTTCACTACTTGAGAGGGTGAATTTCATTGTGAAAAATCAACTCATATCTGAGATGTGATGGATGATCCACCAGAAGGATGCCATTTGGAATGAAACACATAAAGCCACGAGCCAATTCTTTGCCCAGTATACTTGCTCTGAAGATCACTCCAAGCCTTTTCACATGAGCTTAACACCACCATATGACTATGGAAGGTTCTCAGAGCCACTGCTACAAGCACAATCCTCTGTAAGAGTGGAGTAGATAGCTGGGATCCAGTGGCTCACACCTGTAATCCTACCTACTCTGGAGACTGAGATCTGAGGATTGTGGTTCAAAGCCACAGAAAAGTCAGTGAGACTCATTGCCAATAAACCACCAGAAAACTGGAAGTGGTGCTGTGGCTCAAGTGGTAGAGCATTAGACTTGAGCTGAAGAGCTGAGGGACAGTGCCCAGGCCCAGAGTTCAAGCCCCACAACTGACCAAAAGAAAGAAAGAAAGAAAGAAAGAAAAAGAGTGGAGTGGATTTATATTATCCCTCAATATATTTCCTATCCCTCCCTACCTGTGAGGAACACATGCCACACCACGTCATCAGCCAAGGCCATGCTACCCATGACATGCTCTACCCATGTACATGAGCAGAATTGAGTAGAGGAGTCAGTGCATCAGCTGCTATGCACTTTCCCCTCTGCTACTGGGTCCAACTGAAGTAACTACTATGAATGCCCTCCATGGACTCAGAGGCTTTCACACACGGAACGGTGGTCACACACTCACCTGTTCCTCATTCCAGGGCTTAAGGATAACAATGCTGATGCTCAAAGGACTTTCAAATTTACCGTTAAGTGGTTGGACATGAAGCTTGGTTTCATCTTCTTGTCCCGTAAACCCTTGAATTTTTGGCTTTTCTCTTCCTTTTGGCACAAACCAGACAGAAGCTCCTGATAGAAGCCATTCTATATGTCATGGGTCCTGGTCACTCTGACATGGGGACACTGGCAGCTGATTGTGCAAGATCTCATCATAGGCCTATAATAATAAACCTACTTCGTTCCAGACATTAAGTTATATTTTTCTCTTTTGATATGTGGCAGGAGTGAGAAGTACATTTTTATTATTGTAAGCCCCAAAGAATTGGAGGAGGTGCTTTCTTTACTACCACAAAAACAAAAACACACACACACACACACACACATACACAAAACTAGTCTTCCTTGACTGATTTGAAAAAGTATAAATATTGGTATGATTATTCTTTTGTTCTGAAAGGTTGCTACAAACTGGATGGCTTTAAACAATACTGCACAGTGGTAGACATTTGTAGTTTGAAATCAAGGTGGGGGAGCCTGGGAATGTGGCTTAGTGGTAGAGGGCTTGCCTAGCATGCATGAAATCAATGTTGGTCCCCACCAGAGACTTGGAGAAGGAATGGGTTCTGTGCTTCTCCCCTGTTCTAGTGGAGGCTGGCAGTCTTCCAGTTTCTTGGCTTAATAATGTATCTCTCTTTTCTCTGCCTCTGTCTTCACATGGTCTTCTTTTCTCTGTGGCCAATTTCCCTATTTCACCTGTCAATTTACTAGGGTCCACATTAATCCAGTGTAACCTTGGTCACATCTAGAAACACCCTTTTTCCAAATAAGGTCATATTATAAAAGTCCAGGTGGGCATGAATTTTAGGAGATACTACTTCACATAGTATACTATATTCATACAAAACATCAGTCTTGTTCTTTAATGGATATTGCAGTGCTCATAAAATATTTATATTGTGCTCCTATTTTGTCCTAGACATTGAGTTGAATTTTTTTCTTTTGATCTTCACCATAATCCTGGAGTAAGAATTATTATCAGCTTTTTATAGATGAAAAAATTGAGGCTCAGTAGATTACTTGAGTTGTTTAGTGTCATATAGCAAAACGTAAGGCAGAAATGGAACTTGGACCCTGATATTTTTCCAGTAAGCCACTGTCATCCATATACAAACTACCCCAATGTGTGGTGAGTTCCAAAGGTCTAAACTAAAATTCTTCATGCATCTTTACTAAACATTACTGTTACCAAAGGAAAGCAAACAGCCTGTTCTTGTCTTAGCTCCTCAAATGAAAGCAAAGGTCAGACCTTTGGGCTGAATTGTAACCATTTGTTTCCTCATGCCTTTTCCTTAGTTGAACAATAGTCATTATTATACCAATCAGGAGTATAGCTGTTAAGCAGCAGAGACTGTAAAACAGTAATACTGACAGTATTGTAGAACACAACAAACCCCAGTAATACTGAAAACTCACCGATTGAGAGGAGATTCAGCACCATCTATTCCTAGTCATTTGCAATGCTCACATACAATCATGCAGAATGAATTTTCTAAATCCTCTTTAATGACATTGAAACACTAAATGGAGCAAAATTTAATAACTTGTTTAGAGTTTTTCATAGCTCACATTTGGAAAAATTAATTGCAAATGGTTATCTTCCCAAAGTACACATCAAAGTTTGGTTACTAGAATTTAGTCATCGAGACATACAAGTCAAACCCAAACTAAATGGAAGTCTAAAATAAATGGCCTATAATTTTCAAAAGTGTCAAGGTCATGAAAATCAAGGAAGCTGAGGGAATTGTCACACAGGAAATATAAGTGTAACACAGTAGTCATGAACTGGGTCTTTTGGCTAACCAGGAACTTATTGTGGTGATTTGTAGCACTTAAGCAGAGTCTTAGCATTTGAAATTAGTAATGTATTAGTTTAAGTTCCTGATTGATAATTGCATCATAATAATGTAGAAGAATATTCTTGGTTGTTGAAAATATACATGAAATGTTTAAATAGGGATACAGGTTGACCTATTGTAAAAAGAAATGTAAAAGACACTATGATGAAAAAACGAACTTTACAATTTAGGTGGGGGGGGGGCGGGGGAGGGAAGGGGAGAGAGGTGGGGGGAGAGGTGGGGGGAAGGGATGGCAGGGGAAAAACAAAGGAGGAGGCAACAATGCTTGATAAGAAATGTACTCATTACCTTGCTCATATAACTGTAACACCTCTACAGTATTTTCACAATAAAAACATAAAAAAATGTACATGAAAGTATTTGGAAGTAATGGAATATTTTTGGACAACTGAACCTCAAAATTTAGAGAAAAAAAGGTAGGCACTGGTATCTTACACATGTAATCCTACCTACTCAGGAGGCTGAGATCTGAGGATTATAATTCAAAGCAGTCAGGACAGAAAAGTCATTAGACTCTGATCTCTAATTAACTCTTATTAACTCCAATTAACTCTAATTAACTCTAGCTGGAAGTAGAGCTGTGACTCAAGTGATAAGGTGCCAGTCTTGAGTGGAAAAAGCCAAACCATAGTGGAAGACCCTTAGTCCAACACACACACACACACACACACACACACACACACACACACACACACACACAGAAATCATAGGTAACAAAATTCTTTGCACAGTGCTTTCAACTTTTCTGAAATTAGTTTCCAGAATAAAAATCTTTTTATAAGCTGGTGCCAGTGGGAGCCTAGGATCTGAGGATTGCAGTTTAAAACCAGCTGGCGCAGAAAAGTCTGAGACTCTTATCTCTGGTTAAAAAAAAGCCAGGACTGGGAAGGCAGCTCAGTGGTAGAGTGCTTGCCTTGCATGCATGAGGCCCTGGGTTTGATTCCTCAGCACCACATAAGCTGTGGCTCAAGTGGTAGAGTACTAGCCTTGAGCACAAAGAGGCTCAGGGACAGCATCCAGGCTCTGAGTTCAAGCCCCAAGGTTAGAAAAAAAATCTCTATAAAGGAAAGAGAAAAGACAAACTAGATGCAATAAATACACACAGTATTTTCAAAGTTATACAGCAAAGGGTAAAAAATAAATGATATAGTTGCTAGAAGAGGACATGGATAGTCAAGGAAAATGTAAGTTTTAGAATGGGAGAAATAAATTGTATGTTGGCAGAAACGATGATGTAAAGAAGCAAAAACTAAATGAAGCAGAATGGGAAGGAGTGGGTATAGGAGGGCAGTAACTGCTTGAACAGTTTCCTTGGTTGGTTAGGAAGAGAGAACCTGGTGCACAAAGGAAGGAATTCATGAGTATGTGTATATGTACAAATTTGTGCATGTGTGTATGTGCATACGTGTATGCATGTGTGTGTTGGTATTGGGTCTAGACCTCAGAGCCTGAACTCTCACTTGGCTTTCTTGCTTCTATAGTGAGTGTTCTACCACTTGATATATGTCTCTAGTCTGACAATTTTCTGGTTAATTGGAGATGGAGTCTCACGAACTTTTCTGCCTGGGCTCTCTTTGAACTATGGTTCTC